AGCACCCGCTGGTCAGCTCTGGTACTGCAGCCCACACGGCAGGAGAGTCCCACCACCAGTGCTGAGAGCACCCGCTGGTCAGCTCTGGTACTGCAGCCCACATGGCAGGAGAGTCCCACCACCAGTGCTGAGAGCACCCGCTGGTCAGCTCTGGTACTGCAGCCCACACGGCAGGAGAGTCCCACCACCAGTGCTGAATCCATTCCTGACAGCTCCCTATGTAGTCTGGGCATCCGGGGGGCACCACATGAATATCTTTTCTCTCGTAAATCTGAAAATTATAAGTATAGCCTGTTGTCCTCTCACAAGTGTTCTACATCTTGACCTCATATCTGGCACACTTGCTGGGGAGAAATTGTTTGAATGCAAGGCGGCCAGAAAAATTAATCAGGGACTCATCAACGCAGATTTTTTGCTGGGGAGTATAGACATCTGTTAATTTTTGGTTAAGATGATTTGTGAGGGGCTGGATTTTGTGGAGCCGGTCAAATTCAGGGTTACCCCAAGGATGACAGAGTGCATTGTCGTTGAAATGCATAAAACACATTATACTCTCATATCTATGCCTGGCCATGGCAGCAGAGAACACGGGCATATGGTGAATCAGGTCTGTGGACCAATACAATCACAATTCATTTTTTTTTAGTAATGCCCATGTTGAGGGTTAGGCCCAAAAAAAAATGTAAATTCGGAAACCGTAATGAGTTTCCATGCGACTGGTCTGGCAAGGTTTGAATTTGTGTTGGCGATAAATTGTTGTGCATATAAATTGCTTTGATCCACAATCAACGCATATAGATATTCCATGAAAAACAGCTCCAAAAATCAAGGTGATTAGTTAAATTTGCTGTTTCCACCTGAATTCCGGGTTGGGCAGTGAATCTGGGAAGTACAGGTGCTGTAGAATTTGTGGGCTGTCAATCGGGATTTGCAAGCACATCCGGAAGGATACTAGGAGCTCTATGGGCCTGTGTGCGAATTCTTGGTGGCTGTGGGACAATATTTGTGCTCGTCACCGCACCAGCTTGTACTGGACTTATGGGACTCGCCACGTCACCAAGTCATACTGCAGTGCTGGTATTATTATTATACAGGATTTATATTGTAAGCTCCAAGGAGCAGGGCCCTCCTTTCCCTCTTGTATTGAACTGTATTGTTGCTGTATTGTCTCCCGTTTTATTGTAAAGTTCTGAGCAAACTGTTGGCGCTTTATACATCCTGTATAATAATAATATAGCGCCAACAGTTTGCTAAGTGCTTTATAGTATAACAGGAGACAATACAGCAGCAATACAGTTCAATACAAGAGGGTTAGGAGGGCACTGGTCCTTGGAGCTTACAATCTAAGAGATATGTAAAAGACCAAGATGTACTAGACCGCTGGTGCTCGCCAGTTCACCAAAAGGTAGCGCGGCACTAGTACTGGCACTCTGCTACATATGAGAATCTTCAAAATTTACGGACAAGTGCTAACAGAGATCAGGCCTGATTCTACCAACACTGCGGTTTTGTGTGCAATGTATAAAGTGACAGAGACCTAGTGACACTGCACTTGCTGGGGGAGAAGGGGGGAGGGGGAAGCGTAAGGTCTAAATGCAGGTGCTGGCAGGTGCCTGGGCTGATCCCGCTAACGCTGCATTTTTATACTAGATTTGATCAAAGATGTTGATCTGTTCAGACACTATACTAGCAATGGAGGTTTATTGTGTATGACAGTCTTCCTGGCAATCAAGGGGTTAGATGTGATGACTGGTGTACTGATGGGCAATCTCAAGCCATCTGGGAGGGGCGTGAAAACCACGGGAGCACAAATCATGTATATGTGTATGTATGTTATATATATATATATGTGAAACTCTAAAAATTAGAATATAATGCAAAAGTTAATTTATTTCAGTAATGCAAGATAGTTCAAGCCATGATTTGTCATAATTGTGATAATTATGGCTTATAGCTCATGAAAACCCAAAATCCACAATCTCAGAAAATTTTTATATTGTGAAAAGGTGCAATATTCTAGGCTCAAAGTGTCCCACTCTAATCAGCTAATTAAGCCATAACACCTGCAAAGGGTTCCTGAGCCTTTAAATGGTCTCTCAGTCTGGTTCAGTAGGAATCACAATCATGGGAAAGACTGCTGACCTGACAGTTGTGCAGAAAACCATCATTGACACCCTCCATAATGAGGGAAAGCCTCAAAAGGTAATTGCAAAAGAAGTTGGATGTTCCCAAAGTGCTGTATCAAAGCACATTAATAGAAAGTTATGTGGAAGGGAAAAGTGTGGAAGAAAAAGGTGCACAAGCAGCAGGGATGACCGCAGCCTGGAGAGGATTGTCAGGAAAAGGCCATTCAAAAGTGTTGGGGACTTTCACAAGCAGTGGACTGAGGCTGGAGTCAGTGCATCAAGAGCCACCACACACAGACAGATCCTGGACATGGGCTTCAAATGTCGTATTCCTCTTGTCAAACTGCTCCTGAACAACAAACAACGTCAGAAGCGTCTTACCTGGGCTAAAGAAAAACAGACCTGGTCTGTTGCTCAGTGGTCCAAAGTCCTCTTTTCTGATGAGAGCAACTTTTTCATCTCATTTGGAAACCAAGGACCCAGAGTATGGAGGAAGAATGGAGAGACGCACACTGCAAGATGCTTGAAGTCCAGTGTGAAGTTTCCACAGTCTGTGTTGATTTGGGGAGCCATGACATCTGCTGGTGTTGGTCCACCGTGCTTCATTAAGTCCAGGGTCAACACAGCCATCTACCAGGAGATTTTGGAGCACTTTATGCTTCCTTCCACAGACAAGCTTTATGGGGATGCTGGCTTCATTTTCCAGCAGGACTTGGCACCTGCCCACACTGCCAAAAGCACCAAAACCTGGTTCAATGACCGTGGGATTACTGTGCTTGATTGGCCAGCAAACTCGCCAGACCTGAACCCCATAGACAATCTATGGGGCATTGCCAACAGAAAGATGAGAGACATGAGACCAAACAATGCAGAAGAGCTGAAGGCCGCTATTGAAGCATCCTGGTCTTCCATAACACCTCAGCAGTGCCACAGGCTGATAGCTTCCATGCCACACTGCATTGAGTCAGAAATTGCTGCAAAAGGGGCCCAAACTAAGTACTGAGTACATATGCATGCTTTTACTTTTCAGAGGTATGACATTGTTCTATGTACAATCCTTGTTTTATTGATTGCATGTAATATTCTAATTTTCTCAGATTGTGATTTTAGGTTTTTCATGAGCTGTAAGCCATAATCACCACAATTATGACAAATCACGGCTTGAACTATCTTGCTTTGCATGTAATGAGTCTATCTCATATATTTAGTTTCACCTTTTAAGTTGCATTACTGAAATAAATGAACTTTTGCAAGATATTCTAATTTTTTTCGAGTTTCACCTGTGTGTGTGTATATATATATATATACAGTGTATATATATATATATATATGTGTGATTTTGCGCAACCGTGCCGCCCTGTAGCAGTATTTCTGCTATTGGGCGGTCAGGAAGTGGTTACAGAAGCGGTTTGTGTTACGGTGCTGTTAACTGACAAATGTGCGGTCATGCAACACTGCACCCAAATTAAATTTTTTTCCTATGAATTGAGCTTTCTTTCAGTGGTATTTGATCGCTTGTGCGTTTTTTATTTTTTGCGCTATAAAAAAAAAAAGTCTGACAATTTTGAGAAAAAAAAACAATATTTTGGACTTTTTGCTATAAAACATGTCCAGTAAAAAAATTTAAGAATCAAATTTTGTCATAAATTTCGGCCAAAATGTATTCTGCGACATGTCTGCTAAAAAAACAATCCCAATAAATTTATGAAGAAAGATTATTTGCAAAATGTATAACAGAAATAAAGAAAAACGCTGTTTTTTCAAAATTTTTTGCACAGCCATCCAGACCAGTGTGCCGAGCGGACAGGGAGAAGAACTGTTAGTAAACAAACAGTCCTCCTCCCCATCGGAGATCTTCGGAAATCACAGGGTGCCGGCGAGTAATTACATGTCCCCTACCTGGAAATGCAAAATCATGTATATATAGGTGATTCTGTGTACCCGTGTTGTCCTGTAGCAGTATTTCTGATATAGGGAGGACGGGAAGTGGTTAAATGCCACCAAATGAAAGCTCTATTTATGTGAAAAAAAGATAACAACTTCATATGGGTACAGTTTTGCATATTTGTCATTCAACGTGCTAAAAGCTGAAAATTGGCCTGGGCAGGAAGGGGGTTAAATTGTCCAGTATTGAAGTGGTTAAATACCAAAAGCTCTATGTGTCTCAAAAAAAAGATTAAAAAAGTAATTTGGGTACAGTGCCAATCAGGGGTGTATTTGCCACGAGGCAAACAAGGCGTTTGCTTAGGGCAGCACTTTTTAGGGGGCGGTGCGGTGGCACCGCCACCTCCCCCTTTCCCACGGGAGGGACACTTAGTACAGGGGCGGGCTGCTGTGTCTTACCTGGGTCCGCGACTCCATGTCCCAGTCCCACGTCGATCCGGTCCACAAGGCGCTGCTGGAGGAGGGGTAGAGAGGTTGTCCGGTCAGCAGGTCCGGTGTCTTCATTTCCCTGGAATGTGATGTGTGGGCGGGATGACATGCCATCCCTGTCATCTGGCCACACCCCTGGCATCACTCAACAGCGCTGCCTCCTCGCCGGTGCTTGGCCGCCGGTACTGTAGCTCAGGAAAGGCACACAGGCGGCCAATCACCGGTGAGGAGGCGGGCGGAGCTTGGAGAGGAGGGGCCGAGCGGCAGCACGAGGATCAAAAGAAGATTGAGGGAGCTGCCGGAGCGAGTGAAGAGGAGGAGAGGGGCCGGAGAAGGAAGACAGCTGACCAGTAAGTGGCTGTACCATGCACATGGCGCTGCTGCAGCCAGGTATGCTGGCTGTAGATGGGACAGGGAGGGAGCGAGCCCAGGCTGGAGCAGGGGTCAGCAAGGTAAGTATTATTGGTGTCAGTGGGAGAAATAGTGACCCATCATTGGTGTCACTAATACCAATGATGGGGCACTATTCCTCCCACTGACACCAATGATGGGGCACTATTTCCCCCCCACTGACACCAACTATTGGGCACTATTCCTCCCCCCACTGACACCAATGATGGGGCACTCTTCCTCCCCCCATTGGCACCAACGATGGGGCACTATTCCTCCCCCCACTGACACCAACGATGGGGCACTATTCCTCCCCCCACTGACACCAATGATGGGGCACTATTCCCCACCACCACTGATACCAATGATGGGGCACTATTCCCCCCCCACTGACACCAATGATGGGGCACTATCCCCCCCCCACTGACAGCAATGATGGGGCACTATTCCCCCCCACTGACACCAATGATGGGGCACTATTCCCCCCACACACTGACATCAATGATGGGGCACTATCCCCCCCCCCCCCACTGATGCCAATGATGGGGCATTATTCCTCCCACACTGACACCAATGATTAGGCGCTATACATCCCACTGACACCAATGATGGGGCACTATTCCTCCCCCCCACTGACACCAATGATGGGGCACTATTCCCCCCCCCACCACTGATACTAATGATGGGGCACTATCCCCCCCCCCCACTGACACTAATGATGGGACACTATCCCCCTCACTGACACCAATGATGGGGCACTATCCCCCCCCCACTGACACCAATGATGGGGCACTATTCCCCCCCACTGACACCAATGATGGGGCACTATTCCCCACACACACTGACATCAATGATGGGGCACTATCCCTCCCCCCACTGACGCCAATGATGGGGCATTATTCCTTCCACACTGACGCCAATGATGGGGCATTATTCCTTCCACACTGACACCAATGATTAGACGCTATACATCCCACTGATATCAATGATGGGGCACTATTCCTCCCACTGACACCAATGATGTGGCACTGTTCCTCCCACTGATACCAATGATGGGACACTATTCCTCCCACTGATACCAATGATGGGACACTATTCCTCCCACTGATACCAACGATGGGACACTATTCCTCCCACTGATACCAACGATGGGACACAATTCCTCCCACTAACACCAATCCAATGATGGAGCACTATTCCTCCCACACTGACGCTAATGATGGGACACATGGTGGTGTCAGTGGGAGGAATAGTGCCCCATCATTGGATTGGTGTAAGTGGGAGGAATAGTGTCCCATCACTGGTATCAGGAGGAGAAGTAGTGCCACATCATTGGTGTCAGTGGGAGGAATAGTGCCCCATCATTGGTATCAGTGGGAGGAATAGTGCCCGATCATTGGTATCAGTGGGAGGAATAGTGCCCCATCATTAGTGCCAGTGTGGGAGGAATAGTGCCCCATCATTCGTGCCAGTGTGGGAGGAATAATGCCCCATCATTGGTGTCAGTGTGGAAGTAATAGTAACCCATCGTTGGTGTCTGTGGGAGGAATAGTGCCCCATCATTGGTGTCAGTGTGGAAGTAATAGTAACCCATCGTTGGTGTCTGTGGGAGGAATAGTGCCCCATCATTGGTGTCAGTGTGGAAGTAATAGTACCCTATCGTTGGTGTCAGTGGGAGGAATAGTGCCCCATTGTTGGTGTCAGTGGGAGCAATAGTGCCCTATATCTCATACAGTTGCAAGAAAAAGTATGTGAACCCCTTGGGATTCCGTGGAATTTTGCATGAATTGGGCATAAAATGTGCTCTGAACGTCATCTAAGTCACAACAATAGAAGAACACAGTCTGCTGAACATAATACTACACAAACATTAGATGTTGCCATGGTTTAATTGCACATAACATGTAAACATACACAGTGCAGGGAGGAAAAAGTATGTGAACCTTTGGACTTAATAACTGGTTGACCCTCCTTTGACAGCAATAACCTCAACCCAACGTTTCCTGTAGTTGCAGATCAGACCTGCACAATGATCTGGAGTAATTTTGGACCACTCCTCTTCACAAAAATGTTTCAGTGTAGCAATATTCTTGGGATGTCTGGTGTGAATCGCTCTCTTAAGGTCATGCCACAGCATTTCAGTCGGGTTGAGGTCAGGACTCTGACTGGGCCACTCCAGAAGGCGTATTCTGTGCTGTTGCAGCCATTGTTTTGTTGAATTACTTGTATGCTTTGGGTCATTGTCCTGTTGCATCACCCATCCTCTGCGGAGCTTCAGTTGGCGGACAGATGGTCGTACGTTTTCCTGCAAAATGTCTTGATAAACTCTGGAATTCATTTTCCCATCAATGACAACAATCCATCCAGGCCCTGAGGCAGCAAAGCAGCCCCAAACCATGATGCTCCCTCCGCCATGTTTTACAGTGGGGATGAGGTTTTGATGTTGGTGTGCTGTACCTTTTTTTCTCCACACATAGTGTTGTGTGTTCTTCCCAAACAACTCAATCTTAGTTTCATCTGTCCACAGTATATTTTGCCAGTAGTGCTGTGGAACATCCATGTGCTCTTTTGCAAACTTCAAACGTGCTGCAATATTCTTTTTGGACAGCAATGGCTTCCTCCGTGGTGTCCTCCCATGTACTCCATTCTTGTTTAATGTTTTCCTTATTGTAGATGTGTCAACAAAAATGTAAGCATGTGCCAGAGATTTCTGTAGGTCTTTAGCTGACACTCTGGGATTCTTCTTTACCTCATGCAGCATTCTGCGCTGTGCTCTTGCAGTCATTTTTACAGGACGACCACGCCTAGGGAGAGTAGCAACAGTGCTAAACTTTCTCCATTTGTAGACAGTCTGTCTTACTGTGGACACATGAGCATCAAGGCTTTTGGAGATACTTTTGTAACCCTTTCCAGCTTCATGCAAGTCAACAATTCTTGATCGTAGGTCTTCTGAGAGCTCTTTTCTGCGAGGTATGGTTCACATCAGACAGTGCTTCTTGAAACCAGTAAACCCAAAACAGGTGTGTGTTTTTTAAGGGCAAGACAGCTGTCAGCAACATATTCAATATCATCACACTGATTGGAGTCAAGGTTGGCTCACTCCTGACTCCAATTAGCTCTGGGAGAAGTCATTAAGCTAGGACCTCACATACTTTTTCCTCCCTGCACTGTGAATGTTTACATGTTATGTGCAATTAAACCATAGCAACATCTAATGTTTGTGTAGTATTATGTTCAGCAGACTGTGTTCTTCTATTGTTGTGACTTAGATGATGTTCAGAGCACATTTTATGCCCAATTCATGCAAAACTCCACGTAATCCCAATGGGTTCACATACTTTTTCTTGCAACTGTATATGAGGAAACAGCTGTATATCTTTGTTGATATTGCATCAGAGACTGTAGCTAGAAGAAGATCTTTGAAACTGCTGCTAGAACAGATGAGAGAAAAAAAGTTTGATATAACTGGGGCTTTCCAGCATGCCTGATCAGATGGAAAGATGGAAAATATGCAAGGCTGAGGTTCCCAGAAGATTTTAGTGACTTTTGCGAAAAACTAAACTTACAGAAAATGGACCTTGAAGGGTGGTCAGAGGGGCCTCTAGAGTGTACGGCAGGGGATACGAAAGTGGCAGCTGGTATCTAAGAAGAAAAAGTAGGTAGTCATGGGGTGGGTCGGAGGGCGGGGGTGTTGTTGTTTGGGGGGAAGGCCTAGGGAAAGGAGAGGAGGAGTATTCCTAATTTTCTCCCGGAGCCTGGAAGGTTTTTTTTTCCTTCTCCTCCCTCTCTTGACACCACCCTCCCGGTCCTCCTATGGATACACCATGTCTCCTTCACCCTCAGTCCTCTTCCTTCCTGGTTGAGATGGTGGACGGGGGAGGGGTAGAGGGAATTCTGACGCGGCGGGTAGCCTGAAGGCCAAACATGCGGTCACACTCTGAAATAACCAATGTTACGAGCTAGGGATCAGAGTGGGCGAACGTGTTTTGAATCTCACCCCAAAATTGGAATCGCGAGTGGAAATGTTCTATGACAGATTCCAGGGCAACATATAGGCCATGGGGGTTTTAGGGGTAAGATAAATAGGGGGAGGGTGGGGAGGGGGGTGTTATAGGAGGGGAAGCGAGAATGTCCATATCTTAAATTGTCTGTATCTGTCTTCCTCTGATGGGAAATTCAGTAGGGTAGTGAAATAACAGTAGAAATGAGCCTGATTAAGTTTATGATTTATAATGTGAAATAGTTAAACTCTCCGACAAAAAGACATAAGATACTTAGAAAAATCCACCAACACTCCATAGATGTAGTGTTTTTCTTCAAGAGACACATATAACTCATGATACAAACGCTGATTTTCCAGTTAAAAGGGCTAAAGGAGTAGCAACTGGGTTTTCAAAAAATTAGTTTTAGTTTTATCCTGGAGTAGAAATTGGAGGATCCAGAGGGTCAGTTTCTATTCCCGAGGGGAAAATTACAAAGATTTGAATATACATTAGTTAATATCTACTGTCCGAATAAAAACCTAGTAACATTCTTGGAGGTGGTGTTAAGAAACCTTTCTGAATTTAAAAAGGGTAGTCTGGTTGTGACAGGAGATTTAAATTTGTGTTTGGATCCTCAGTTGGATATGTCATCAGGTACGCAGAGAGAGAGGAGAAGGAAATTAAAACTATTGAAGAGGTTATTATATCAATGCCAACTGACCGATACTTGGAGAGTGAAACATCCAAGAGAAAAAGACTACACCTTCTCCTCTGTACATGGTTCGTATTCAAGACTGAATTATATAATGACATAGACAGCTGAAGTCGTTGGTTAGTTCCAACATAAAGGTTATGTCCATCTTCGATCATGCTCCTGTCACAATGAGACTATGGGTGAGAGGGGATCAGGATAAAATAACTATGTGGAGACTAAATGAGATGCTTATACAGGATCCTGAAATAGAGAAAAGACTAAGGCAAGAAATTGAGCAATTGTTTGAGCTCAATGAGACTGAGGAGGTTTTGGTGGCCACAATTTGGGAGGCACATACAGCAAATATTAGGGGAATATTGATTTTGATAGGAGCGGAAAAAAGAAAGAATGAGGAAAAAAAAAAATAAAGATGG